AGAGAGAGAGAGAGCTATAGAGAGAGAGTGGGTGGGCCCGAGAGAGACAGAGAGACAGGGCAAGCGAGAAGGGGAGAGACGAAACCAAGAGAGAGAGAGAGAGAGAGACGATATTAAGAGAGAGCAAGAGAGAGAGAGAGAGAGAGAGAGAAATTGGAAAAAATAAAGATAGTAATACCGCGAACTCGCATTCCAATGTTTACAATAAAGAGAGAGAGAGAGAGAGAGTGGGGACAAAGAGAGCAAATAAGAGAGAAAGAAAGAAAGAGAGTAATAAAGTGAGAGATAGAGAGAGAGAGGAGGCAAATGATAGAGAGAGAGTGCGAGAGAGAGAGAGAGAGAGAGAGAGAGAAAGAGAGAGAGAGAGAGAGAGAGAGAAAGAGAGAGAAAGAGGGGACGAAAACTTGCTACGATAATTTTTTTTCACGAGAACAACGAAGAGAACGCCGCGGTTGTCATGGCGACATGTACCTGGATAGATGGTATTGACATGGTCGTGAAGTGAATCGAGGTTCTGCAAAAAGTCAACAGGGGTCGCGCCGAGCACGTTCAGGATCTTGTCGTAGCCGCTATCCATGCAGCATTCGAAGAAGACTCTTCCAAACATCTCCTCTATGACGTGTATCGGCGTGCCTGTAGAAATGATAATGCAGCTGTATTAATATAGCAGATGCTGAAAAAACTAATCATGTCCATGACGACGATTAGGCTACCGGTATTGAATAAATAAAACATCCAATCTAATGTGTTAATCATAAAAAGTACTCTGTTGCTTAAGTGTTTTTGTTAAATCTGTCGTTCGAATTACAGTATTATGTTTTGCCGTGTTTTTAAGGAAAAACATGAACGACGTAAACGGCCGCCAATTTTATCCTGAAAAAATGCCAAAGCGCCGCAGTTTGTGACCGTAAAACATGCGCGTGGCGCGTAAGAAGACAAAAACGAAAACACAATTGTTTGTAAATCGTGCACCGAATACCCACCAATACTGAGTGTACGAACGCAAGGGGGGGGGGACGTACGGACGAAAACGCTTACCTAGAATTTTTGAGGCGGCCTCTACGAGAGCGAACGTCTGACTATCGTCGTATGCCAGACGGTCGACGAACTGTCCGTCGATCTCGACGCCTGCCGCAACCCTGCCGACAAACGACGGCGTTAACACGCGCGCGACCGTCGAATGCGGATTTTACGCTAACATCGTCTGCGTAAATGACGTCATTCGCAAGACGCATGTCTGCGTCTAGTAGGCCTACATGCGTAAGTAAAAGTAAAAGTAAAAAGTAAAAGTGAAACCGGTTCAACCGATACTTCAAACGAAACGATGCCGATCGAAACGCGAGAGATTCGATATCGATTAGGAGGCCGTAAAAACGTAAGTGTTGCCTACAGCGAGAACAATACCTCGAAGAAATACCTAGAGAGCAAATGCTAAATGTCCGGGCTGTAGCCTGTGTGTGGGGGGGGGCAAGAGGAGCAGCTGCCTCCTAGTTTTTGGAGCAAAATTAAAAAACAAGCTTAGCTATTAATCGTAACTAACCCTAACGTGATTTTGTTGTTCACCTATCCGTGAAAGCCTTGTCTCAGACCCACCCCTACCACACTATATATGGACGTCGATCAAAAGCTGCACCCGTCGCTCATCATTACACAGCTAAGTCATGAAATTTTGCACCCCCCCTCCCCAAGATATTTGCTCAGCCTCTGGCCCTGAATGTCTACCAGTATGTGCCATTAGTAGGCGCCGGCGCCTTATTGACTTGTCACAAGCCTCAATTAAATCTCGTAGAAGACACGCGCCATATCTTAAAATGTTTGTCATCTACAATATTTCTCATTCGTAACATGAAATCAGACATTGTGATTCGGCTGGAAAATACAAAATGAAATAAAACAATAAGTGGAAATACAAATCGAAATCAAATACGATTTCTTTTAGTTAGTTCTATTGCATCTACCGCACAACCCGGTATCCCACAATATATAGATCGACAGATATATTCTCACGATTATATTACTAGATATAATCTTGTCCAGTCTTCCGCCGATGCGAGTCATCGGTGATAGTATTAAATTTAGTCGCGAAAGAAATACACCGTAGAAAACTGAGAACAAAACTGAGACGCAGAAAACCCAAATAACGAGCAGAAATCCAGATTAATTAATGTCGAGAGGACAATTAGTGGGAGCGCCGAGAGATCGTTAATCAACCGACACAACCAATTACTGCATCACTCATGCTGCGCGTGAAACGCATTCACTGCATGAAGCACGTAATCATGTGCATGAACACTGAATGCGATACAATGTAGCACAATGACACAGCCCAACACGAACCGCACCAACTCAGCTGGATTTTACATAATTGACATTTGATATACAACGAGTCTCTTATAATTAGACACATCATTTCAATATAATCGGCTCGATCTCCTGTGCGCTATCTCTCTCTCCCTCCCCCCCCCTCTCTCTCTCTCTCGCGCGCGCGCTCTCTCTCTCTCTCTCGCGCGCGCTATCTCTCTCTCTCTCTCTCTCTCTCTCTCTCACACTCCCCTTTAAATCTTTCTTGCTCTCTCTCTCTCTCTCTCTCTCTCTCTCTCTCTCTCTCTCTATCTCTCTCTCCTCTCTCACTCGCTCTCCATCTCACTGCATGCGTTCTCTCCTATTTCTCCTTATCTCCCCTCTCAGTTTCTCCCCCTACTACTGATACATGCACAAACAGACTCATACCTAATATGGTGCCACGTTTCCTCTCCATATTCCCGAGTAAAGAGTACCTCTAGGGCATGATTGACAAAGCCGTACTGAAACATATAATCATAGAATGAGCAAGTAAATGTCGCTTCCCGCGCGACATATAGCCAGCTAGTTGAAAGGGAAAGCCTGCAATTTCCTCCAAAATCCAATCTAAACGTCTCAAGTGTCTGTATACAACGTAAACCCGCGATGCGAATGCAATAGTTCTTTACAATGAATGCATCCAGCAGAGCTTGTGCTAAGAAGATTGTGTGATATGAGGATTGTACAAATACTTAAATGAACAGCAGTGGAGTCATTAACGGAAGTCGCCAAAATCCCAGTCAACCTAGAAGAGATATCTACATTACTAAACTTTAAACTATGAGCGCGAGCAAACAGAAAAAAAAAGAAATTAAGAAATCACGAACAGAAACATTTTCTTAACTCGGTGTTTGCCTTGCTTGGGTAGTGAGACCTGTACTGTTATGTATTCCACGCGAACAAGCGGCGCTGGATAATTAATTATGAAAATATGATACACATATCGTGCACGTACCGATGTGCGACAAATATATGTCCCTAGCCGACATGAAACGGCACGACGCTTGAAATCTGTCACACAAATGGATATAGCATCACAGGTTGCATCGGTATGCAGGCACCGCATGCGCGTGTGTATACCTCTGATACTTAGCCGTCCACACGCTCGCGCTGTGTGGAGTGCGCTTTTACCCGCGACCGTCCATAGTCTGTCCACCAACATTTAATAATAATAAATTCCAATAATAAAGTCCAAATAATAATTTAAATAAATAAATTAATCTATGAAATATCAATACGAGAAAATTGTTGTCGCGGTAGAAGAATCGTACAATCTTAATTCACGAACAGATCAGAACAGGCGCTTAATAGCATATATGAATTAAATGAAATATGATTACTTTTCTTAAAAACTTTGTTTTCTACTGGCGGAATTGCGCACATGGCAATAGCTAACCGTACTAAATAGAGCGGTCTATATTCTATTTGTTGACAAAATAATTAGTTGTATAAGAAGCCAGTAGACTGGTACACAGAAAGTATTGTTGGCGCGTATTAACGTAGCTCCACTTTAGCTATCAACTCCATAGTTCTCTGTGCTATATATTTTATATAATATTTGTGTAAATTACTTAATCATTTACTTAAAATAATTTATTTAATGAACATTTAATATAAAATTCACGAGCTATGCAGGACGAAGGCACCGATCATGCATAGCAACCACCGAGCTGAAGTTACGTGGCGCATTTCATAGTAAATATAATTAGCAATTAGCTGGGCAGTGGTGTGGCGTAGAAATGGCTAAGAACTCAGCGACTTCTCGTTTTTCGTTATTACCGATTTCAGGTAGTCACTGGCAATAATGATAGTCTAACTACATGCAAACTCTCCGTCGCATGATGCTTGTGCAATGATAATGAACGCTAGCATAAGGCACTTACTCACGCTGATAGGGTCTATGTCCCCCAGGGTACTATCGGAGGGTACCCTGGGTACGGTTCGATATATCGGAAAGTACCTCGGGGTACTATACGATATGTCGCTGTGTACCCTGCATTGTCTCACCGTACCCTGACTTTCAGCCAACTGATGTCGTAATACACTCTGTCAAGTTACCACATCACATAGAAGAAACCTCAAAGCATCGCAATCCAATAAAAATCTATGCTATGTTTGACTACATTTTTCTTTTTTCTTTTTCATATATATATTCATATTTCCATTTTCATATTCATTTTCATATCATTCAAATATTCATGATCTGAAAGAAATCTTTCCAAATGTACACCACCAACGGGCACAACAGTGCTATCAACCTGCATGTTGCATAATTACACGGTAATACATACAATTTCCAGAAGAAATGCGAATACTAAAACGAATATTTTGCGGGAACGGACCGGAAACAACGAACGGGAGCATAAAGTCAGAGTTAGGTACGGTGGGACAATGCAGGGTACGCAGCGACATATCGTATAGTACCCCGAGATACTTTCCGATATATCGAATAGTACCCCGAGGTACTTTCCGATATATCGAACCGTACCCAGGGTACCCTTCGATAGTACCCTGGGGGACATAGACCCTATCAGCTTTACTTACCATGAGAGTGGAAATCGGCCCGTCGCAACGCAGATGTCTCTAGTTTCGTTAGTCGCTTCACCCTGCTTCCGCTCTCCTACTATATTTCTATTCGCCTCCGTGTGTCTATCGTGCGCTCTCTCTCTCCGTATCCCTTCTCTCTCTCTCTCTCCCGGTCTCCCTCCTCTCTCTCTCTCTCGCGCTCTTTCTCTCTCACTCTCCCTCTCTCTCTCTCTCTCTCTCTCTCTCTCTCTCTCTCTCTCTCTCTCCTTCCTACTCTTACCCTCCTCTATCTTATACGCTCTTCTCACTCCCTCTCTCTTTCTCTCTATCCCTCTCTTGTTATTTCCCTCTCTCTCTCTCTATGTATATCTATCTATATATATCTATAAATATATATCAACCATACTGCGATAAATACTGTGAATGGATGATACTTTTATTTAAAAAAGCACAAACACACACGCACATACTCCCCCCCCCACACACACACACACTCACACACGCACACACACACACACACACACACACACACACATACTCCCCCCCCCCACATTCACACAGCTAGAGCTGCCTCGCATCGCAGTACGACACTTACTGATCCGTCCTCTTCTTCTCCACCTCCAGCTCGATGAAGGTCTTCTGCAGCTGCTCGGTGAGCGTCTCCAGCTTCTGCGTCAGCTTCAGCTCGGCCTCGAACTGTTCCGACAGCAGCACGAGATCTCGCGTGGCGTCGTGCAGCGGGATGTCGCTCAGGTAGAGACTTCGCTGGTTGAGATCATCGAGGTTGGTCACGCTCGGCGAGCACAGGTAGAGAATCAGGTTGGATTCGGGCACGAACATCATCTGGCCTTTCAGCTGCATCTCCTTGCCTTCCTCCTTGATGGCCTCGATGGCCATATCGGCGGACGAGCCGACCTTTATTAGGCGACGATTATTAGGCGACAATTATTAAGCGAGATAAACGCACTGGGAAGCGCCGCCGCGTGGCGTCCGCGCGATATTAATACCTAGTTATACGCGCCCTGATCGCAAGCCGCGTGAATTGATGGCCATTATACGGCTACAGCCTTACCTTCATAGTGCCAGGGAACATAGCATGAACACACACATCTCGGAGCAGCTATAACCTTACTATCGTGGTCACAGTGAACATGGCATGAACATACACAAAACTCTTACCGCCTGCTAACCTCGCCTTCGTGGTCGCAGTGAACATGGCACGAACGCGCAAACCACTGACCACCAACCTCACCTTCGTGGTCACGGTAAACATGGCACGAACATACAAACCACTGACCACCAACCTCACCTTCGTGGTCACAGTGAACATGGCACGAACATACAAACCACTGACCACCAACCTCACCTTCGTGGTCACGGTAAACATGGCACGAACGCGCAAACCACTGACCACCAACCTCACCTTCGTGGTCACAGTGAACATGGCACGAACGCGCAAACCACTGACCACCAACCTCACCTTCGTGGTCACAGTGAACATGGCACGAACGCGCAAACCACTGACCACTAACCTCACCTTCGTGGTCACAGTGAACATGGCACGAACATACAAACCACTGACCACCAACCTCACCTTCGTGGTCACAATGAACATGGCACGAACATACAAACCACTGACCACTAACCTCACCTTCGTGGTCACAGTGAACATGG